GGACACTCTTGTGGGACACTCTTATAGGACACTCTTGTGGGACACTCTTGTGGGACACTCTTGTAGGACACTCTTGTGGGACACTCTTGTGGGACACTCTTGTGGGACACTCTTGTGGGGCACTCTTGTGGGACACTCTTGTGGGACACTCTTATAGGACACTCTTCTGGGACACTCTTGTGGCACACTCTTGTAGGACACTTTTGTAGGACACTCTTGTGGGTCACTCTTGTAGAAAACTCTTGTGGGACACTCTTGTAGGACACTCTTGTGGGACACTCTGTGACACTCTTGTGGGACACTCTTGTGGGACTCTTGTGGGACACTCTTGTGGGACACTCTTGTAGGACACTCTTGTGGGATACTCGTGTAGAACACTCTTAAGGGACACTCTTGTGAGACGCTCTAGTGGGACAGTCTTGTACGACACTCTTGCACAAGAGTGTCCTGCAAGTGACCCACAAGAGTGTCCCACAAGAGTGTCTCACAAGAGTGTCCTAGAAGAGTGTCCCACAAGAGTGTCCCACAAGAGTGTCCCGCAGAGTGTCCCACAAGAGTGTCCTACAAGAGTGTCGTACAGGAGTGTCCCACAAGAGTGTCCCACAAGAGTGTCCTACAAGAGTGTCCCACAGGAGTTTCCTACAAGAGTGACCCACAAGAGTTTCCTACAAGAGTGTCCTACAAGAGTGTCCCAGAACAGTGTCCCACAAGAGTGTCCTACAAGAGTGCCCCACAAGAGTGACCCACAAGAGTGTCCTACAAGAGTGTCCTACAAGAGTGTCCCAGAAGAGTGTCCCACAAGAGTGTCTTACAAGAGTGTCCCAGGACACTCTTAGGAAACTCTTGTGGGACACTCTTCTAGGACACTCTTGTGGGACACTCTTGTGGGACACTCTTGTAGGACACTCTGGTGGGATACTCTTGTCGGACACTCTTAAGGGACACTCTTGTGAGACACTCTTCAGCGACACTGTTGCGGGACACTTGTGGGACACTCTTGTGGCACACTCTTGTGAGACACTCTTGTAGAACACTCTTGTGGGAAACTCTTGTGGGACACTCTGTGGGACACTCTTGTGGAACTCCTTGTGGGACACTCTTGTAGGATACTCTTGTGGGTCACTCTTGTAGGACACTCTTGTGGGACAGTCTTGTGGGACACTCTGTGGGACACTCTTGTGGAACTCCTTGCGGGACACTCTTGTAGGATACTCTTGTGGGACAGTCTTGTAGGACACTCTTGTGGGACACTCTTGTGGGACACTCTTGTAGGACACTCTTGTGGGATACTCCTGTAGGACACTCTTAAGGGACACTCTTTTGAGACACTCTAGTGGGACGCTGTTGCGACTACAAGGTCGCCAGTTCTCAGCTTCCAGCTCCACCGGACAAATCGCACTCTCGCCTGCATTTCGCGCACTCAACACGCACGATCTCCGCAGAGGGTTGCGCGCGCATGGGACAAATCGC